ACCCCAGCCTTAGAACTTATTCAGGTGTTCCTGGCAGCTTTCATCCTAAACCTTTGATGCCCAAGCTTTACCTTCAGCTGGAATGAATGACACTAAAACAATGGGGTGAGGAGAAGGTACATCAACGACGCGCTTTCAGTGCCCCCTTATAGTCTTTATCCATGTGAGTCGTATGATTTGTATTGTGTGTAATTTTCTCTCTTGCTGTTTCACTTCATTATGCCATAGTCATTTTCTGTGTCATTTCCAAGTGTCCATAACCATCATTTAGGTGGCAACAGAAACTCCACCGATGGGCATGGGATCATTTCCTTGTCCATTCTCTTTTTGTTCATTGTCCATGGTGCTCTAGATTATGTTTACTGCCTATAATTAAGGCCAAAGCAAACTCCTTTCTTTCCACAGCTTTTCCCCTTTAGATTATTTTCCTGGGATAATTTTTCAAGGATTTGATTAGGATAAAAAAACACTATTGAACATAAGGCTCTTGGCAACTCAAGCCAAATCCTGGTACAATTCAAAGGTACCGTGACTGTACACCCCTCCCCAGCGGTGTTTAAGGGGCTGCTCCAACATACCTGCCAGCATCGTTGGTTTTATTGTCTTATTCATTTCCTGGGTATGAAGAAGCAGCCTACTGGGGCTACACCATGCCCACATCTAGTGCACACACACAGAGCCACATGCCCCCACAAGGCAGAGAGAGAAAAACTGAATGGCTTTAAAAGGCAGAGGAGGAACTCCCCCTTCTGTGGTGAGCCTCTTGCGCTCAGAACCCACCTGTGCCAACCTCTGAGACCCCCAGCCCCTACATCGTGTGCACTGTGCAGGCTGTGTTCACAACACACAGACTAGGAAACTTACTGGTGATTTAAAGGACTTTCAAGAGATATTGTAAAAATAAACAATTTTTCTGTCATCATTGGCTTTTTTAAAATTATGCTAAGATACACATAACATAAAATTTTCCATTTTAACTATTTTTAATTTTTTTATTATACATTTTTATGGAGTACAGTTTGTTGTTTCAATACACGCATACATGTATAATGATCCAATCAGAATAGTTAGCATATTTGTCACCTAAGTATTTATCATTTCTTTGTCATTATAACATTCAAGATCCTCTTTTCTAGCTATCTTGAAATTTACAATACAATATTATTAGCTATTGTCACCTTAGACCTCCAGAACTTATTCTTCCTACCTAACTGTAACTTTGCAACTTTTTAACTGTCTACCAACAAGTGTACAGTCCAGCAGCATTAAGTACATTCACACTGTTGTGCAGCCATCACCACCACCCATCTACAGAACTCTTCATCTTGCAAAACTTAAACTCTATGCTCGTTGAACACTAACTCCCCATT